CCCGCTAGCGGGCGCTCGCTTCGTTCTCACAAGACGCCTCCGGGCTCTCCGGCTTGCGGAGGAGCCCTTTAGGCAGCTCTCGCAGCCCCCCGAAGGTGCCGAGCAGCCCCCCGACTCGCTAGGCGGAGCGGGAGGCCGCCAGGCGAGATCCGAGGTGCCGCCGAGCCCTCCCGGCCTGGAGGATGGCTCTGCCTGACATCCCTCCGGGCTCAGATCCCAGCAGGATCCTCCGAGGGGGGAATACATCAAAAAAAGAAGCCAGGAGCGCTCCGGAGATTTCCCCGGAGATGGTTTTGACAGGGAGAAGAGCTAAACCCCCCCGTCCTCTCCCCTCCGCAGCCTCAGCCTTCGGCTGGAGCCTACGCGGTGCCACCCACTCCAGCGGCAGCTCGGCTCCCGCTCGGCGCCTACGGGATCCCGCTGTTGGGAAACCAAAGTGAGCAAAGGCCGGCGTTGGTGGGGAAGGGGATGGCTGAACCCCTCCCCGAGAAGGGGAAAGCGGTGTCACCGTCACCTCTGCCACCCCAGAGCAGCCCCCACCCCCCCCGGCAGCTCCGATTTGGGCTCGGGCGTGCTCCTCGGCTACCAAAACCACCGGCCCCGGTTACCCGGCGAGGGTCCAGGACCGACCTTTAACTGGCGCCGTCTTCTTCATGACGACGAGGCCGCCGTCCTCGGAGAGAGCCACGGTCACGCTGGCCCCCGGCTCGCCGTAGCCCCACACCACGGCCCCCGCCGGCTCCTTCTGCAGCACCATGTGGTCGCCGTAGTAGGACGCGAAGCCGAGCATCGCCCCTGGGATCAACGGACAGCGCAAACGTCAGCCCGGAGGCAAAAAAACGAGGGAAAAAATCCCCCGGCACGGGTTCCGACTCCCTTTTAAATACAAATTATTTGAGAGGCAGCTTTAATTTAGCTTCCTTCAGTCCTGACCAACCCAATGGAGCAAAGAGCTGAAGATCTGAAGTCCCCAAGCGAGCCCGGCCCTCCCAAAGCACGGGAGTTTGTGTTACACAGAGTTTGGATACAAATTTGGGTAAAAATTCTTCTAATAACAGCACGGGAGCGTCTCCACCAGCCCGACCTTGCTAATAAATACGTTCTGATGTATTTTCCCCTTGCGAAAAAAGGGTTGGCGAGCGGTGGGATGGGAAAGAGGTGTCAGGCCAGCCCATGTGCCCATCACCCATGGCGTCAGGCCTGCCCTTGTGCCCATTGCCCAGGGCATTGAGCCTGCCCCATGTGCCCATTGCCCAGGGCGTCAGGCCTGCCCTTGTGCCCATCACCCGTGGTGTCAGGCCAGCCCATGTGCCCATCACCCATGGCGTCAGGCCTGCCCTTGTGCCCATTGCCCAGGGCATTGAGCCTGCCCCATGTGCCCATTGCCCAGGGCGTCAGGCCTGCCCTTGTGCCCATCACCCGTGGTGTCAGGCCAGCCCATGTGCCCATCACCCATGGCGTCAGGCCTGCCCTTGTGCCCATTGCCCAGGGCATTGAGCCTGCCCCATGTGCCCATTGCCCAGGGCGTCAGGCCTGCCCTTGTGCCCATCACCCGTGGTGTCAGGCCAGCCCATGTGCCCATCACCCATGGCGTCAGGCCTGCCCTTGTGCCCATTGCCCAGGGCATTGAGCCTGCCCCATGTGCCCATTGCCCAGGGCGTCAGGCCTGCCCTTGTGCCCATCACCCGTGGTGTCAGGCCAGCCCATGTGCCCATCACCCATGGCGTCAGGCCTGCCCTTGTGCCCATTGCCCAGGGCATTGAGCCTGCCCCATGTGCCCATTGCCCAGGGCGTCAGGCCTGCCCTTGTGCCCATCACCCGTGGTGTCAGGCCAGCCCATGTGCCCATCACCCATGGCGTCAGGCCTGCCCTTGTGCCCATTGCCCAGGGCATTGAGCCTGCCCCATGTGCCCATTGCCCAGGGCGTCAGGCCTGCCCTTGTGCCCATCACCCGTGGTGTCAGGCCAGCCCATGTGCCCATCACCCATGGCGTCAGGCCTGCCCTTGTGCCCATTGCCCAGGGCATTGAGCCTGCCCCATGTGCCCATTGCCCAGGGCGTCAGGCCTGCCCTTGTGCCCATCACCCGTGGTGTCAGGCCAGCCCATGTGCCCATCACCCATGGCGTCAGGCCTGCCCTTGTGCCCATTGCCCAGGGCATTGAGCCTGCCCCATGTGCCCATTGCCCAGGGCGTCAGGCCTGCCCTTGTGCCCATCACCCGTGGTGTCAGGCCAGCCCATGTGCCCATCACCCATGGCGTCAGGCCTGCCCTTGTGCCCATTGCCCAGGGCATTGAGCCTGCCCCATGTGCCCATTGCCCAGGGCGTCAGGCCTGCCCTTGTGCCCATCACCCGTGGTGTCAGGCCAGCCCATGTGCCCATCACCCATGGCGTCAGGCCTGCCCTTGTGCCCATTGCCCAGGGCATTGAGCCTGCCCCATGTGCCCATTGCCCAGGGCGTCAGGCCTGCCCTTGTGCCCATCACCCGTGGTGTCAGGCCAGCCCATGTGCCCATCACCCATGGCGTCAGGCCTGCCCTTGTGCCCATTGCCCAGGGCATTGAGCCTGCCCCATGTGCCCATTGCCCAGGGCGTCAGGCCTGCCCTTGTGCCCATCACCCGTGGTGTCAGGCCAGCCCATGTGCCCATCACCCATGGCGTCAGGCCTGCCCTTGTGCCCATTGCCCAGGGCATTGAGCCTGCCCCATGTGCCCATTGCCCAGGGCGTCAGGCCTGCCCTTGTGCCCATCACCCGTGGTGTCAGGCCAGCCCATGTGCCCATCACCCATGGCGTCAGGCCTGCCCTTGTGCCCATTGCCCAGGGCATTGAGCCTGCCCCATGTGCCCATTGCCCAGGGCGTCAGGCCTGCCCTTGTGCCCATCACCCGTGGTGTCAGGCCAGCCCATGTGCCCATCACCCATGGCGTCAGGCCTGCCCTTGTGCCCATTGCCCAGGGCATTGAGCCTGCCCCATGTGCCCATTGCCCAGGGCGTCAGGCCTGCCCTTGTGCCCATCACCCGTGGTGTCAGGCCAGCCCATGTGCCCATCACCCATGGCGTCAGGCCTGCCCTTGTGCCCATTGCCCAGGGCATTGAGCCTGCCCCATGTGCCCATTGCCCAGGGCGTCAGGCCTGCCCTTGTGCCCATCACCCGTGGTGTCAGGCCAGCCCATGTGCCCATCACCCATGGCGTCAGGCCTGCCCTTGTGCCCATTGCCCAGGGCATTGAGCCTGCCCCATGTGCCCATTGCCCAGGGCGTCAGGCCTGCCCTTGTGCCCATCACCCGTGGTGTCAGGCCAGCCCATGTGCCCATCACCCATGGCGTCAGGCCTGCCCTTGTGCCCATTGCCCAGGGCATTGAGCCTGCCCCATGTGCCCATTGCCCAGGGCGTCAGGCCTGCCCTTGTGCCCATCACCCGTGGTGTCAGGCCAGCCCATGTGCCCATCACCCATGGCGTCAGGCCTGCCCTTGTGCCCATTGCCCAGGGCATTGAGCCTGCCCCATGTGCCCATTGCCCAGGGCGTCAGGCCTGCCCTTGTGCCCATCACCCGTGGTGTCAGGCCAGCCCATGTGCCCATCACCCATGGCGTCAGGCCTGCCCTTGTGCCCATTGCCCAGGGCATTGAGCCTGCCCCATGTGCCCATTGCCCAGGGCGTCAGGCCTGCCCTTGTGCCCATCACCCGTGGTGTCAGGCCAGCCCATGTGCCCATCACCCATGGCGTCAGGCCTGCCCTTGTGCCCATTGCCCAGGGCATTGAGCCTGCCCCATGTGCCCATTGCCCAGGGCGTCAGGCCTGCCCTTGTGCCCATCACCCGTGGTGTCAGGCCAGCCCATGTGCCCATCACCCATGGCGTCAGGCCTGCCCTTGTGCCCATTGCCCAGGGCATTGAGCCTGCCCCATGTGCCCATTGCCCAGGGCGTCAGGCCTGCCCTCGTGCCCATTGCCCAGGGTGTCCGGCCTGCCCTTGTGCCCATCACCCGTGGTGTCAGGCCAGCCCATGTGCCCATCACCCATGGCGTCAGGCCTGCTCCGTGTGCCCATCACCCAGGGCGTCAGGCCTGCCCTTGTGCCCATCGCTCAAGGACACACCACCTGCCCCTCTGTCCCCATGCTAGGGGACTTCGCACCTCGCCCAACCCTTGTGCCCATCCCCGGGGTGCCAGGCCTGCCCTGTGCCCATCCCCGGGGTGTCAGGCCTGCCCTGTGCCCATCCAACCTCCTCCTTCCCCAGACAGCTCAGCCGCCCCGGCAGCGCAGGGAGCCCGGCCGGGGGACGAGGAAGAGGAGGAGGAGGAGGCCGAGGAGGAGGCAGGGGAGCGGGCAGGCAGCCCGGCCACGGTAAGGAACACAGCGCCCGCACCCAAACCAGGCCTATTTCAGCCCAAAAAAGCACCCGCTGACGGCACCCGTGAGTCCTCCCCGCCCCAAAAATCCTCCCCGCGATGCGGCAGAGAGGAGCGGGATATAGGATTTCTCCTCTGGATATAGGTTTTCACCCCCTGTATATAGGATTTCTCCCCCTGGATATAGGATTTCTCCTCTGGATATAGGTTTTCACCCCCTGTATATAGGATTTCTCCCCCTGGATATAGGATTTCTCCTCTGGATATAGGTTTTCACCCCCTGTATATAGGATTTCTCCCCCTGGATATAGGATTTCTCCTCTGGATATAGGTTTTCACCCCCTGTATATAGGATTTCTCCCCCTGGATATAGGATTTCTCCTCTGGATATAGGTTTTCACCCCCTGTATATAGGATTTCTCCCCCTGGATATAGGATTTCTCCTCTGGATATAGGTTTTCACCCCCTGTATATAGGATTTCTCCCCCTGGATATAGGATTTCTCCTCTGGATATAGGTTTTCACCCCCTGTATATAGGATTTCTCCCCCTGGATATAGGATTTCTCCTCTGGATATAGGTTTTCACCCCCTGTATATAGGATTTCTCCCCCTGGATATAGGATTTCTCCTCTGGATATAGGTTTTCACCCCCTGTATATAGGATTTCTCCCCCTGGATATAGGATTTCTCCTCTGGATATAGGTTTTCACCCCCTGTATATAGGATTTCTCCCCCTGGATATAGGATTTCTCCTCTGGATATAGGTTTTCACCCCCTGTATATAGGATTTCTCCCCCTGGATATAGGATTTCTCCTCTGGATATAGGTTTTCACCCCCTGTATATAGGATTTCTCCCCCTGGATATAGGATTTCTCCTCTGGATATAGGTTTTCACCCCCTGTATATAGGATTTCTCCCCCTGGATATAGGATTTCTCCTCTGGATATAGGTTTTCACCCCCTGTATATAGGATTTCTCCCCCTGGATATAGGATTTCTCCTCTGGATATAGGTTTTCACCCCCTGTATATAGGATTTCTCCCCCTGGATATAGGATTTCTCCTCTGGATATAGGTTTTCACCCCCTGTATATAGGATTTCTCCCCCTGGATATAGGATTTCTCCTCTGGATATAGGTTTTCACCCCCTGTATATAGGATTTCTCCCCCTGGATATAGGATTTCTCCTCTGGATATAGGTTTTCACCCCCTGTATATAGGATTTCTCCCCCTGGATATAGGATTTCTCCTCTGGATATAGGTTTTCACCCCCTGTATATAGGATTTCTCCCCCTGGATATAGGATTTCTCCTCTGGATATAGGTTTTCACCCCCTGTATATAGGATTTCTCCCCCTGGATATAGGATTTCTCCTCTGGATATAGGTTTTCACCCCCTGTATATAGGATTTCTCCCCCTGGATATAGGATTTCTCCTCTGGATATAGGTTTTCACCCCCTGTATATAGGATTTCTCCCCCTGGATATAGGATTTCTCCTCTGGATATAGGTTTTCACCCCCTGTATATAGGATTTCTCCCCCTGGATATAGGATTTCTCCTCTGGATATAGGTTTTCACCCCCTGTATATAGGATTTCTCCCCCTGGATATAGGATTTCTCCTCTGGATATAGGTTTTCACCCCCTGTATATAGGATTTCTCCCCCTGGATATAGGATTTCTCCTCTGGATATAGGTTTTCACCCCCTGTATATAGGATTTCTCCCCCTGGATATAGGATTTCTCCTCTGGATATAGGTTTTCACCCCCTGTATATAGGATTTCTCCCCCTGGATATAGGATTTCTCCTCTGGATATAGGTTTTCACCCCCTGTATATAGGATTTCTCCCCCTGGATATAGGATTTCTCCTCTGGATATAGGTTTTCACCCCCTGTATATAGGATTTCTCCCCCTGGATATAGGATTTCTCCTCTGGATATAGGTTTTCACCCCCTGTATATAGGATTTCTCCCCCTGGATATAGGATTTCTCCTCTGGATATAGGTTTTCACCCCCTGTATATAGGATTTCTCCCCCTGGATATAGGATTTCTCCTCTGGATATAGGTTTTCACCCCCTGTATATAGGATTTCTCCCCCTGGATATAGGATTTCTCCTCTGGATATAGGTTTTCACCCCCTGTATATAGGATTTCTCCCCCTGGATATAGGATTTCTCCTCTGGATATAGGTTTTCACCCCCTGTATATAGGATTTCTCCCCCTGGATATAGGATTTCTCCTCTGGATATAGGTTTTCACCCCCTGTATATAGGATTTCTCCCCCTGGATATAGGATTTCTCCTCTGGATATAGGTTTTCACCCCCTGTATATAGGATTTCTCCCCCTGGATATAGGATTTCTCCTCTGGATATAGGTTTTCACCCCCTGTATATAGGATTTCTCCCCCTGGATATAGGATTTCTCCTCTGGATATAGGTTTTCACCCCCTGTATATAGGATTTCTCCCCCTGGATATAGGATTTCTCCTCTGGATATAGGTTTTCACCCCCTGTATATAGGATTTCTCCCCCTGGATATAGGATTTCTCCTCTGGATATAGGTTTTCACCCCCTGTATATAGGATTTCTCCCCCTGGATATAGGATTTCTCCTCTGGATATAGGTTTTCACCCCCTGTATATAGGATTTCTCCCCCTGGATATAGGATTTCTCCTCTGGATATAGGTTTTCACCCCCTGTATATAGGATTTCTCCCCCTGGATATAGGATTTCTCCTCTGGATATAGGTTTTCACCCCCTGTATATAGGATTTCTCCCCCTGGATATAGGATTTCTCCTCTGGATATAGGTTTTCACCCCCTGTATATAGGATTTCTCCCCCTGGATATAGGATTTCTCCTCTGGATATAGGTTTTCACCCCCTGTATATAGGATTTCTCCCCCTGGATATAGGATTTCTCCTCTGGATATAGGTTTTCACCCCCTGTATATAGGATTTCTCCCCCTGGATATAGGATTTCTCCTCTGGATATAGGTTTTCACCCCCTGTATATAGGATTTCTCCCCCTGGATATAGGATTTCTCCTCTGGATATAGGTTTTCACCCCCTGTATATAGGATTTCTCCCCCTGGATATAGGATTTCTCCTCTGGATATAGGTTTTCACCCCCTGTATATAGGATTTCTCCCCCTGGATATAGGATTTCTCCTCTGGATATAGGTTTTCACCCCCTGTATATAGGATTTCTCCCCCTGGATATAGGATTTCTCCTCTGGATATAGGTTTTCACCCCCTGTATATAGGATTTCTCCCCCTGGATATAGGATTTCTCCTCTGGATATAGGTTTTCACCCCCTGTATATAGGATTTCTCCCCCTGGATATAGGATTTCTCCTCTGGATATAGGTTTTCACCCCCTGTATATAGGATTTCTCCCCCTGGATATAGGATTTCTCCTCTGGATATAGGTTTTCACCCCCTGTATATAGGATTTCTCCCCCTGGATATAGGATTTCTCCTCTGGATATAGGTTTTCACCCCCTGTATATAGGATTTCTCCCCCTGGATATAGGATTTCTCCTCTGGATATAGGTTTTCACCCCCTGTATATAGGATTTCTCCCCCTGGATATAGGATTTCTCCTCTGGATATAGGTTTTCACCCCCTGTATATAGGATTTCTCCCCCTGGATATAGGATTTCTCCTCTGGATATAGGTTTTCACCCCCTGTATATAGGATTTCTCCCCCTGGATATAGGATTTCTCCTCTGGATATAGGTTTTCACCCCCTGTATATAGGATTTCTCCCCCTGGATATAGGATTTCTCCTCTGGATATAGGTTTTCACCCCCTGTATATAGGATTTCTCCCCCTGGATATAGGATTTCTCCTCTGGATATAGGTTTTCACCCCCTGTATATAGGATTTCTCCCCCTGGATATAGGATTTCTCCTCTGGATATAGGTTTTCACCCCCTGTATATAGGATTTCTCCCCCTGGATATAGGATTTCTCCTCTGGATATAGGTTTTCACCCCCTGTATATAGGATTTCTCCCCCTGGATATAGGATTTCTCCTCTGGATATAGGTTTTCACCCCCTGTATATAGGATTTCTCCCCCTGGATATAGGATTTCTCCTCTGGATATAGGTTTTCACCCCCTGTATATAGGATTTCTCCCCCTGGATATAGGATTTCTCCTCTGGATATAGGTTTTCACCCCCTGTATATAGGATTTCTCCCCCTGGATATAGGATTTCTCCTCTGGATATAGGTTTTCACCCCCTGTATATAGGATTTCTCCCCCTGGATATAGGATTTCTCCCCCTGGATATAGGATTTCTCCTCTGGATATAGGTTTTCACCCCCTGGATATAGGATTTCTCCCCCTGGATATAGGATTTCTCCCCCTGGATATAGGATTTCTCCCCCTGGATATAGGATTTCTCCCCCTGGATATAGGATTTCTCCTCTGGATATAGGTTTTCACCCCCTGGATATAAGATATGCCCTCTCCTTGTATAGGTTTTCCCCCCTGAATATAGGATTTCTCCCCTCTATATAGGTTTCCCCCACCTGTATATAGGATTTCTCCCCTGAATATAGGATTTCTTGCCTCGATATAGGTTTTCCTCCCCCTGGATATAGGATTTTTCCCCTGGATATAGGTTTCCTCCCCCATATATAGGATTTCTCCCCTGAATATAGGATTTCTCCCCTGACTATAGGCTTTCTCTCCTGGATATAGGATTTCCTCCCCCCAGATATAGGATTTCTCCCCTGGCTATAGGATTTCCAGCCCTGGCTATAACATTTCCACCCTGGACGTATCATTTCCACCTCGGACCCGTCACTTAAGCCGCCGCCGCCGTTGCTCTTTTGCTCCCTTCCCCTTTCGCGACGCTAAAAACAACCCGAGCAACTTTGCGGAGCGGTGGCACGCTCCTCAGGGAAGAGCATCCCCCTTCCCAAAAATCTGCAGCTTCCAAATAAACCCCCCTTCCCAAAAAAAACCAAAAAAAACCTCCTTGAAAGCGTTCCCGGAGCGATGCTAAAGGATGCGCTGACACCGGAGCATCCAACGCCACCTCGCTCCCGTCTCATTTAGGTTTTTCCCGTATTTTGGGGTTTTTTTTCCCACCTAAACCTCGGTGCCGGGGTCCAACCGCTCCGGTGGGATGCGGCAGGAGGGGAGTGGGCTGCAGTGATTTATCCCTGGCTGGGGGAGGGCTTTTCCCCCCCCGCCCACTCCTCCGGCATCTCTCCCTTCCCAAATTTCCCGGTGTTTTCGGCCGAAGCCCTGAGCAGGGATGCGGGAGGATGCAACAGGCTGCGAGGGAAGGGGAAACTGAGGCACGGCCAGCTCGGCTTGCCCCCCGTGCCAAAAATCCCCCTCCCACAACCCACCCTCTGCTCCCATGGATGCTCCGCTCCCTGCATCCCAACCCTCGGAAAAGCAGGATCCGGCCCCAGTGGGGCTGGCTGGGGGCTGGCTTCTTGCAGCTCCGGGGGGGATTTGGGGATGAACAGGGGCCAAAAAGGTAAATTTAAATATTCCCCCGCCGCACCTTTAGTTGCAAATCCCCCGAAACCCCTGCAAGGGACCCTGATTATTAGCAAAGAACCCTGATTTTTAGCAAAGAACCCTAATTTTTAGCAAAGAACCCTGATTTTTAGCAAA